CGAGGCCCGGCCCTGCTTAGCTTCCAAGATCAGACGAGATCGGGCATGTTCAAGTTAGCATGGCCATAGACCTTGCCTTGGATTTTTTTATTAAGTAGTACCTCATAACATTTGTATGAGAATTAAGTGACTTAATACCTGTGATGTGTTTGGGCCAGATCCTGGCACATGAATGCTAGTTGTTGTTATTCCTTCTGCACAATTTCCATCATTCTCTGTCATCTTTATAGTCAGAATTTTCTTTTGGCGTCTGAATTGATCAGGATTAGGTTTGTCTGTGAGTAACAGAAAACCCAAAATAGTAAGAATTAGGAGTAAGGAAAGGTGGATGAAGGCAGCGGTTCCCAACCTTTTTGGCACCAGGCACCAGTGCTCTTACGAGAATCTAATGCCCGATGATCTGAGGTGGAGCTGAGGTGGTGGCTGAAAAACAAATGAAGTTTTGCTCACTCACCTGCTGTTCACCTCTTGTTGTATGGTCTAGTTCCTAACTGGTCCGGGGTCAGGACCCCTGGATTAGAAGACTACTGTGTTTTGTTGATTTTTTTTCTTAATTATAGTCTTCTAGTACTATCTGGCTTTTTAAATTTGTGACATATAATAGTTTGATTAAAGACAAACTTTTTAGAAAGTTAGGATTATATTTACTATACTTATATAACTTTTTTTTTACATAATAATATATCTTGAAGTTCTCCTCATCAGTTCATATATGTCTATTGCGTCTATTTTAATGACTGTATTAGAGATTAGTACTCTAGCTATACCAATATTTCCTAATTTATTTTCTTAGATTTTTTTTTTTTTTTGTAGCAAAGTGCTATAACACACAGTACTATAGTGATTAGAACATATTCCTAGAAGTGGAATTGTTGCGAGGTCAGAGGCAATTCACGCTTAAAATTTAGACAGAAACTGCCAAATTGTCTTCCAAAAGTTTAGGATCACTGTGATAACTGTGTGCAGAATAAATTAACATGGAACAAGATTGTCAGTGGGAAGACAAATTTGGAGGCTGTTGCAGTCATCCAGGCAAGAAATGATGTACTTCAAACTAGGATGACAGAGGAGATGGAGAAAGGTAGACTGATTCAGGAAATAAAGTGGGAGGGAGAACAGATGGAGTTGTTAATGAAGTAGATATGAGTAATGAAAGAAAGGAAAGAGTCAAGGATGATTCAGGGGGACCAGTGACATCAATTAGAGTTCCATGTGAGATGAAACCTACTTGCCATCACTAAATTAAATGACTTTATACGTTGCAATTCTGACATTTTAAACAATTTTAGAATCCATGACAGCACTCTTATTTATAGATTGAATGATATCCATATTGAATACTTTGTCTTTTATAATTGTAGGGATATAATTTTATTTGATTGGCATTTGTGGAGTAAATGTTGAGTCTGTCACTAAACTGTATAGATTTTCTTTCTGTACATCTCTGGAATTCATTTGTTCCCTACCTGTCCACAGCCACACGTCTAACCTAAGCCTTCTTCCACCAGCTGCAATCAGAATGATCTTTATAAAATTCAGTCTGCAATGACTCCCTTTGCTCCAGTTCCTTCATATTGTAATGAGTACTGTGTCCACAGCTAATCCACTCACAGGGAGCATTTTAATGTGGTTTCTGTTCAGTCCCACCTTGTTTGGGGTCTCCAAGTCCCCTACTCTCTTTCCAGTGGTCTTATAGCTAGCTGTTCAGAACCATGGGGAAGCAGAGGGCCTGCAGGTGGAGAATCAGTGGAGCAAGAGGACAGGTCTTCTGAACCGGAGGACTTAACTGCCACTCTAGTACTGGGATGGAGAATTCTTTTTTCTTTCTCCCAATTGCTATTTTCTCTTTAAGCCTTGGTCACTATTCTCCAGACTTCCTCTTCTGGTTTTACAGTTGCAGCCAAGGAAATCTTTATTAAGTACTTTAATCTTTGTTCCTGCTCTCCTCCCACCGATGGAGGTGAAAGAAAATACATAAAAATAAGCAGTTTATTACTTCTGAATATTTTTCTGCCACTGGATGGCATCCAAAATACCCTTGCTCACTTCTTTACCGTCATCTCTGTGCTCTTTTCCCACATTGCTCATGCTCATATCATACTCCTTTCATTTCCTGAAATCATAAACTTGCTCACCTTCCAGCCCAACCATGCTTAGACTTTGCTTTCTGTAGACCAGGGACCTTCCTTTCCTCTCTCTAGGTGCTCTTCCTGTGTGCTCACAGAGCACGTGTTATAGTATTTATCACTCTGTTATGATTATGATACGATATTTTAGTTCACTCCTTGAGCAGCTCTTAAGATCTTTGTGGGCAGGGGCTATATCTGAATCACTTATTTCCCCGTTGGATAGCACAGTGCCTGTCACCAAAGGGCTCAGTAATTATTTGTTGAATGAATGAATGTGATTTGGCAACAACCAACATTGAGTGATTTTTATTTAGTTCAAGGATAGAAGAATTAATCAATGTAGAAGTACAATGTAAAGGAAAATTGCGATTCTAGAGAAAGCTATTTTAATGATAGTTGGAAGCCAGTTTGCAAAAGCTTCAAAAGAATGGTGAGCCCACACAACATCTCATTTCAGGATGCTTGGTGTTTGAGGGAAGTAGCTGTGGGAATTATATAGAGGCCTTAGCAGGGTCAAGTAAGAGTGTTTCTGTAGGTAGGTAGTGGGAAGATGGATATCAGATGTTGGGCAGACAAGAGACATGGCTCAGTGAGGTGGGCCTCATTGTTAGTACACATTCACACGTGCTAGCAGAAACTACCATACCAAAGCAAACACACCACTGGGGCTTTTGCTTTAAACTTTAATGACCATGTACCTAGTTTAACCAGAACAAGATTCTACAGAAAGAGAGAAAAAGTAAAGGATGAATAGCATTCTTTCCCTCTTCTGACCCACAGAAAAAGCAGAATGAATCTGTGTGTGTGAAATCATGGTGGATGGTTTTTGCCTTTTTCTTTGCCTTCACCCTCCTCTTCCCCTTTTCCTTCTCTTCCCTTCTCTTTCCAACACTGAGCCCTCTAGTTTATTGATTGGGTCTCAGAAACCTAAATAGGCTGCCCAGCGCTTTTCTTGGGCTTTCTTGTCTCATTGAGTGGTCCTTCTCTGACACCTTGCTTCTCCCTCATCTGTGTTTCCAGGAACCTTGAGACATTTACACTCCCTAAAAACTTCCTTACCTTTGGGGCATTCCTCAGGCTATTTCATCTTGCCCACAGGTGTACTTTCATCCCCTGGCCTATGGGATTTGGCACACCCTACCCATTGGTGGCAGCCCATCCTGGCAATTCCCTCATTGTGATTAACCACTCTTATGAGCCTGCTCTAACAGCTGCTTTCTATTCCACTTTTGAGATTTACTGTTTTGCGCTATGTTGTACTGGTCCCCCAAACACAAGGCCCCCATTAATGCCCTGCCCTGTTATCTGCCTCTGTACGCTGTTGGTGCTGCTAAAATCCTGCCAGCCTTGCTTTAAGTTGAGTGTGCCTGCTGTTTGCTTTTCCAGCAGTCATGGAATTTTGTATCCTCCTGAGCTTTGCCTGACTCAGTTGCACTTGGATTATATGCTCCAGGTTTTTATGCTATTCCCTGAGACATCTATAGTGAAGGTTCTATCATCTTGTTTATCACGTGTTCGAATTTAAAATAGAAGAGACTTTTGGAAATGTTTTTAATTTCTCCAGCATGTTTTTAATGTTTTCGCCACATACAGTATTCTCCCTGCTCAAAGAACTATGTTTTAATTTTCAGGGCATGTCAGCATTTAGGAGTTCATTTAATCAGGAATGATGAGTCTTAGTTTCCTCTGAGATCACATTTGTTCATGTTTTTAAAGCACATGATTTTAGATCAGGTAACCTAAATTTTAAGTCTTCCTATTCTCTATCAGTATTTGTAATAGAAAAAAGAGAGCATTTTAGGCATCCTTTTCTGCTGGAAGAATTTCTCAGACTTGTTATATTAGTTGACTATTTTGTCTGATTCACATAAAGTCTGATGTGCTCTGATTTGAGCTCTCTAAGCAGTGGCAAAATTAGAATAAAATGGTCTCTTAGCTGTAGTCATTGATTGCATTCTTTGTGTGATTTAGTGTATCTAGCCCCAAATACAGCTGTTTTTCCTGGCTCCATAAAATCTTACAAGACACATACTGATTGAAGATTAAATAACGTATAGGTTTACCAGCCAGCATGATTTTACCCATTTTGTTTACCTTTTTATCCACTCAGTCATTCCTTCACACTAAATTCCTTGAATCTTGAGTCTCCTATTTTTAATTATACCATTGCGAGTCACTTTTTTTTTAACACTTTTGGACTCTTTCACAGTAACAGGGAATGCTTTGGGAATTTAAAAATCATTGTCTTTTTTGCATGATATATGACAATAAAGACTTTAAGTTTGCATTTAAAAATTTGGGGTCAATATATTGTGAAACAAATTTAGTGAATTTCAGCAAATTGTTTAATTTATTTTAAAGACTGCATGCATTTAATTTACTTTGAATAGTTATATAAAATATAATTTTACAACAATGAAAATGAAATTTTATCATTTGTAAATTCTGTAAGGTTCTACATATAAGATCATATCATTCTGCAGAGATAATTTTAGTTGGTTTTTTTTTTTTCTTTCCAATTTGAATGCCTTTAATTCCTTGCTTAATTGTTCTGGCTAGACTTTCCAGTAATACATTGAAAAGAAATGGCAGACTTCTTACTCATTTGGTATGGTATAAATTAGATGGAACATGGATATGAGCATTGAAGTTACAAAGAGCTTGTTTTCAAAGAGATATACTATTCTCCATATTGTGTTTATACAATCATGTTGAACTTCTATCTGTGGTTGATTATGGAAGAGTATGAATTGCCCCACCACTTGGTATTAAGGTGGTTAGTTCTGTTGTCAAAGATCTTTGCAAAAAGGGAGGATTAAAATGGGGTCATGCGACATAACGATGACTAAATGTTGGTTCTTTGTTTTGCAGTTCCAATTCCTGGTAGATTTGATCGGCGAGTATCAGGTATGTGTTCTCTTTCATAACATACTGCCAAAATGCTATTTTAAGATAGTATTATCTTAAATAAAAACACACTGGTCTTTTTAATAAAAAGATAAGTTAACAGCATTCAGAACATTATAAAAAATCACCTGTGATTTCTTCATTCTGTTTCATTTTAAGTTCTGAGTATCTATGTATGTATTTTTATATGGCTATAATTAGTTTGTCTCATTTTTGTCATTAATATTTTCCATGTTCATAATTATGGCTTCTAAAAACTACTTTTCGTATTATTATTTCTGGTTTTCTAGATTATGCTGCCGTTAACTTCTTGCATACATTTTCGAGTCACTTAAATTATTTCCTTGGTTACAGTGTCAGGAGAGGCATTCCCTAGTCAGAGACTGAGCATTGCCTTTTTCTGTGTATTGCTTTCTAGAGACAGGCTGCAGAATAGGCTACAGGGAGAAATAAATACCTTGCAAAAGCCTCTTTTCCAAAACCATCTCACTAATAAGTAGTGCCTACTCCTTTAGGTTAGATGTAAAATAGTACCTCAGATTGTTTTATTAGGCATTCTTTTGATTATTAAGAAAAATGAATGTTTTCCAAACATGGGACATCTATTTTTATTTTTTTCGTATGGGACTTGTTTGGTAATGTTTTTCCCTTTTATCTTTTATGGTCTAGATTATTTTCTATAAGTTTGAGTAAATTTCTGTCATGATTTTTAACCTTTTGAAAATTTTAATGCTAAGTTTTTCACGTTGGTTGTGCTGTATATTTTAATTTTGCTGTTTTTTATTGACTCAAAACTTTTATTATGTAACTAGTACCTTGAACACTGCTTGGCACATAGCAGGCACTCAGCAAATATTTATTGAGTATATACATCCTCTTCTTTTTCTTTAAAAAAAATTTTTTTTTATTGTGACATTGGTTAACGAAATCCAGCATTTCAGGTGTACAATTTAACAGTAAGGCATATATATATTGCATTGTATGTTCACCTCCCATAGTTAGATTTCTTTCTGTCATTGCATATTTGACCCTTTTTACCTCATCTACCTCCCTTTTTTTCCCATAATTGCTCCTAAACTGAGAAAGTCCCCTTGTTTTCATAGAGCTGATAAATATATTTTATAAAAAATGTTCATATAATTAAAGTGCTTGACTTTTGGATAAATCTAGAGTTTATTTCGTTTTACAGTTAGGATGTTAATGTGTTTCAAAATTGCTGTGTAAGCTGTATGTGTTAAATTATTCTTTCATATCACCTTGTTCTGGAAAGGTTTCATATTCGTCCATTTACCCTTTTCTATCATTCATTCCTCTTCTTTGAGAAATTCTGCTATTGTTTTCAGAAAGCCTTTGGTAAGGTTGTACACTAAAGTCTGTTGAAAGGAGATTGAAGAATGTATTCTTACATATAGACAGTCATTTACAGAAAGAAACTAGAGTAGGGATTAAGGTTGGCACGAGACCCATGAGCGATTATCTCCCATTTCGGTTCATCCCTGCCCCCTTATTTCCCCCAAAGGTTAGTAATACCCTTTGACATCTGTAGGACAGATCTGGGATATGGAGAGTACAGTGAGATCTCTAGAGGTCACAGATGGTGTTAGTTGATGAATTGCTGTTTGGGCTCTCTGTCACTGTGGTTCAGTCCTTGAACTGTGGAGGACTCAGACAAGTACACGTTATTATTCCTCCCCCTTAGATTTTACAATCTTAACTGAAGATTTAAAACTTTTTAATATTATTCAGATGTTAAGTGAAAATAAAAGGTTCTTAAAAGAATCCAAAATGATTATGCAGGAGAGGAAATAGCCTGTAGCAATAGCTAACATACAGTCTGTGTGCTAGGTGCAGTTTTAAAGTCTTTCTTAATGCCTTCCTTGTATTGTTGAATATAATTCTTACATTAACAACATGAGGTATGATTATCCCCATTGTATAGATGAGGCAACTGGGGGCAAAGCAGAGGTTAAGTAACTTGAAACAGTCAAGGTGATAAAGTGCCCAAAGGTAGCATGGGTGCTGAGTACTACACTTCTCCTCTCTAAGGACCCTGTCTCGTTCTCTCTGGAGCTCTTAGTCTTCAGGTAAATCTTTTGCATTCTAAGCCTGTTCTTTGAGCTCAGCCTTCGTCCATCTTCCTGCTCTGGATGAAGCTTAGCTTACCCTGCAGGCTTCTCGAATGGTGGCTTTTTTCTACCTTCCATGTAACTGACCAGAGATGGGTAAATGTTTCTCTTGCTCCTCATTGCTGCTTCCAACTTCCCTAAAATTCTCGGCTTCCAACCTCACATTGTTATATTCTACCAGCTACTCCCCGTCCTTGTTTTAGTCATCTAATAATCCCCAGGGTGTTCCTTCTTATTTCCACACAGATTTCCACATTTGTAATATCTGGCCCTTTTGTTTCTCGACCTCCTCTCTTCCAAGGATCTCGTCTTCCACCATACATTCCCATACGTACTCTTCAGACTTTTCATCAGTGATCCCAGTCTTTCATATTTTCTCTCTCCCGACATCTCCTCCTCCCTATCCCCATTCTAGCAGATGACCTTTTTCTCTATGAAGTAAGGAAATAGAAGCAACAGAAGAGAATTTCCATAGACTTCCACTACTATTTCTATCCTTCCTCACCTGCGTATGAATCCAGTGTCCACTGGTACACCAAATCTTATCCCTTCATCCTTCCAGCAGGTACTTCCTCTTTATCCTGCATAATCATTATCCTTCAACTGGATTATTCTTCTCAGCAAAGAAACAAATGGTTGGCTCTTCCTTTTTAAAAAAGAAAATAAAACCTTTTAAACCATTATTTTTTATCCAACCATCACCCTTTTTCGCTCTATATCTTTACAGAAAAACCCCCTTGAAGGAGTTGTCCAAATTTGTTGTTTCTAGTTTATCTTCCATTCTCTTCTGAGCCCATTCTCATCAGGTGTTTGCTCCCATATCTCACCGAAACTGTCTTTGTGGATTGCTTACCCACAATCTTCAGACTTTCATTTGAAAGACACCTTCTCAGACCTTCAGTAAACTTGTCTAAAATACACACACACACACACACACACACACACACACACACAACCTATCTCCCTTTATTTTCTCCTCACTGTTCTTTTTTTTTTAATGCCTACAGCACCTGGTCCTCCTAGATGGTCTTCCATCCAAGTACTAACCAATCCTGACCCTGCTTAGCTTTCGAGATCAGAGGAGATCGGGCACATTCAGGGTGGCATGGCCGTAGATACTGCTCTATCTTTTTTAATTTATCCGATTTATTACCTAGTTCCCTAGACTAGAATGTAATTCCCTCTTGGGCAGGGAATTATGTCTGTTTTGTTATTGATGTATAGTTAACACTTGGAAACAATGTCAGTAAATATGGATGGATGGAGGGAAGGGAAGGGAAGGATCAGGAATCAGGAGGAGAAATTATTGTAGGCAGAAAAAAATCTAGAAATATTTCTTGGAGGGAGGCAGTGATTGCACTAGAAGTTGGAAAACATGGTTACTATTTTGGCTAGTACCAAGAAGGAGGCATTCTAGTTGGAAGAATGTCTTAACACCCAAGGAGGAAGGAACTGGACCTGGCTGCTCTGGCTTAGGGGAGGAGATAAAATAAAGTTGGAAAGAGAAGTGGGGAATGGGGTTCCTGAGGTGATCCAAAGACTTCAGCAAAAACTAGTTGTGTGAGGACATATGTGCTGTGTCAGAGACTGCAGAAGAGATTTCAGCGTCTCAGGGTTCTGACATAATCTGGAACATACAGCAGCAGAGGAGAGTGAGCAGTCATTGAGTGTCTCCTGTGAGCCCAGCCTTGTGTTTTAAATGTTACCTCCTGTGTTAACTCTTATGTGGTTCTAGTATTCTTATCCCCTCTTACTGTTGAAGAGACTAAGGATCAGAGAGAGATGGAGAAAGAACAGGTGAGGGGTGGACGGATCCAGGCTCAACCCTAGCGTGTGGAGCTTCAGAGATGAACCCTGTGCCTTTTGATGCTGCCTCTCCCTTGCAAGCACTGGAATTGAAAAGCTGTGCCTTCCAGGTTCTAAGTTATAGCAGAAAGTCTCTCTACATCAAGTGAGAAATATATCGAATGAAGAGAGTTTATAAGTTCTTTAAAGGCAGCTTTCTTGAAGTGGTCTTGAATTAGTGTTAACTATATTGGATTTTGAAATGTTAGTCTGATTCTGTTAATTATAAAACTTCATCCAAAAACACCCTTTCCTTTAATAAATATATATTAAAGCTTCAAAACACATTAATTGGAAATTTGTGTTGGCATCATACTACATTCAGGCAGGGAGTATCTGACTCTGGTAATGACTGTAATACAGTTAACAGAACAGTCTGCTGAGAATCTGGTGCCAGGTCAGACACTCGTAGGCGCCCTTCACCAGACATCCCTGCTTTGTAGGATTTACGTGCTTAAATATACAAATACTGATTTTTGTCTTTATACTCTTTTCACGGTATTCAGTATTTTTCCATCCATACCTGTCTTCTGCTATTATTACTATTATTTCCATCCATACCTGTCTTCTGCTAAATATTACTAAGCATTATTTAAAATAACTTAGAAGCCCAGTGTTATGGGTTGAATTGTATCCCCTTCAAATTGATATGTTGAGGCCTAACCCCAATGTGATTATATGTAGAGGTTGGGTTTTTAAAGAGGTTAATTAAGGGTAAACGAGATCCTAAAGGTGGAGCTCTAACCCAATAAGACAGGAGTCCTTTTAAGAAGAGGAAGAGACATCAGGAGTGCAAGCTCAGAGGAAAGGCCGTGTTAGGACACAGCAAGAAGGAAGGCATCCATCCATCTGCAAGCCAAGGAAGGAGGCCCCAGGAAGCACAAAACCTTCCAGTACCTTGATCTTGGACTTCCAGCCTCTAGAACTGTGAGAAAATAAATTCTCTTGTTTTTGCCACCAGTCTGTGGTATTTTGTTATGGCAGCCTTAGCATGCCGATACACTCAGGCTGTGTCAACTCTTCATGGGGGCCGGCAGGATAGCATAGGGCCTCAGGCCTGTGACCAGGGTTTGTGCTCGTTGGTAGAAATGAAAGGGTTTTCTCTCACAAGCACATTTTAATGATTCACATTTCTGGATGAAGGAAGCACCAGATAAAATTTGGAAGAAATTGTGCTGGCTAATCTATTGTCACTTTGTAGTTTCATATTACTGGCTAGTGACATCTGCTGGAGACCTGCGGCAAGACGACTGGCTGTGCTGCTCTTAGTCTTCATTTTCAGTAGGTCTCGAGCGTCTCATGACCCTCCGTGTAGTTATTGATGCTACATGAGGGGATCATAAAGCCTCCAGGTAATTCGTGCACTGAGACAAGCTCCCCTATGTGTAGAACCATAAAGAAAACAATCACATAGACTCCTAGAATTGGATTTTTATACAGAAAATGAGAAAAGTCATTTGGGATCAGGACCAGGAAGTAGAAAGGTCGGATATAAACAGAGGAAGAGAGCAAAGGGTGGTGGGTCCACAGCTCATAAGAAAAGGGAAAAAATTCAAAACCAGTTTTGAAAAATGAAGACAAAATGTTTTTCCATAAGTAGAAACATTAATAATTTTGATGAAAATAACTACTTTTGTTTAAATCATGGTTCTCTACCTTAAGACTTGAAGACTTTAACATTTAACATTTGCTGCCTCAGTTACATTAATGTCTAAAAATATAAAAATGAGCTAAATTGCTAAAGTTCTTTCCTCTAAAATCAGGAAAAGCAAGCATGGAAATAGGTTAGCCCAAGACAAAATGTCATTATCAGTACAATTCTGTCAATCTCATCACCGAAGACTTATTATTTTAAACTTTTTAAGTGAGAATTTTCATACAAGGGCAAAACTAGAGAAAGTATAATGCCCATGTACCTATCTATCTCCAAAATGAAAGTTTTTTTAAGTGCATTTTTCTAAGAAGACATTTTGAAGTCGTGAACTAAAGAGTAGCAATTGGAGTAGACTGAACAGAGGTAAAAAAACAAGAATATTTCTGAAGTAGAATTTGATGTATTCATTGGATAAGAGGAGAAAGAAGGAAGTCATGGCGTACTCCAAATTTCTAATTTAGAAAACTGAACCGATAATGACAACATTAACCATGCTAACACAGAGAACCAAGAAGTTTGCATTTAACATAGTGTTTGGTTAGCTGCCCTCCATGCAGCGCCTCAGCCCCCTACCGGAATACTTGAAGATGAAAAGAATGGCATGGCAGCATTAACACCTAGGAACTCAGGAGTGTGGCTGCCTTCATCTTTAGGACAGACAGATCTGGCATAAATGCACCCTGGCTTGGAGAAGGATAATGAGTCATTATCTACACCCCACTGTCACTGGCTCAGCTACCCAGAGCCCATACCAACCAGGGGATGGACAGCCCTCTCTTCAGAATACCACTTGATGCTGTTGTAGGGGCTAGAATGGTATCTGTCTTCTTATTCCCTTCTCCCTCATTTTTCTCTAAGGAAGCCAGGTCCCTGTTGGACAGGCAGAGTATTGGTGGCATTACAACACAGGAGGTTTAGTGCACACAGGTAGAATAGGCTGGGCAGGGAAGGGAGTCTTGTCTGTAGGACATGCTGGAGTCTCTATTTCTTGGGTGTTCCATTAGTCAGAATCAATGAGGAAGGGGAAGCTGGGATACAGGTAGACTAGGGGTTCAGTGAGTAAGTGTTTCTGAGAACCCAGGAGTTAACCCGAAAGTCATATGTATCAGCTTGTCCCCTAGTTGTAGATATAAGATTTTTTAATTCATCACACAAATGAACTGAGTGTAGGGTCAAAAACCATTTATGTCCCTTGCCTGCTAACAAATGAGAAATAAACCCTAGTAAACAATACAGGGCCTATATGGGTGAACTTGGCAGATTTAGGATGGAAGAGGAATGAGATTAGAAAGGTCCACTACAAAATAGTAGTGCAAAATATCATTGCCTTTATGAATTCTGAATAAAATGAGATTAGAAAGGTCCACTACAAAATAGAGTGCAAAATATCATTGCCTTTATGAATTCTGAATAAAAAAAAACAAAACAAGAAAAGAGTAGGCCAAGATGAAAGAGGAAATGATCATGATGGTGAAAAGACCGTAAAGAAACTAAACAGTAAACAGGAATTAAATACATAGAGAAGGCCAGGAAAGCAGAATTGTTAAAGGGAAAATCTGTGATAAAGGGCAGCCTTGAAGAAAGGACTGTTGTTGAAAGAGCTGAGATATAGAATAGAACCAAGATAGTAATAATATTCCTGAAAACCAGAACAAACGGAACGAAATAATAACCGTTATCGTTCAAAGAGTTGGCACTTACTCTCCCCTTACTGTGTGCCAGCCGCTTCCCTACTTGAATCCTTATGACAGTCCTCAGTGGGTCTTCATTCTTGTTTGCTCCGTTATGCAGAGGAGGAGGTAGAGATCTGCCGTTGAGTCTCCAGGCCACACAGCTATTGCAGATAATTGAGAATTTATTAAAAGAGAAATTTCCCCTGCATTGTAAAGAAGGAACAGGTTTGCTGCATTCTGGGCAACATCACTGATCACATCTAGATTGTTCCTGGCAAAACAGTTTTGTTAGTGAGTCAAATAAATTTTTATTCACTAGATAATACATTCTCTCTTTGCTACTAACACCTAAAGGTAAGATATAAATGTGTCATGTACTGACCTTTCCAATCCTAATCCTTAGATTCCATACTTGTACCCCCTCCAGTGAAAACATCTGTGTGTTTCCTTATTTATTCACTACTGTAATACACACAGAAGAGTTTTGGAATTGCTGTACCACTACCAACCACAGTTCTTTTTTGTCATTGGACTATATCCCACTGAGGGTGGATGGTCAGAGTACTATGTTCAGAAGCTACTTAAAATAACTCTCTTTTCCTTCTCTGTGGTTATCAGCCTGATGTATAATTAGATTCATTTATTTCTTTTTGTATTCAGTTGTAGGGTCCATCCATCCTTATCAATCTAGTTTTTTAAATACATAAAAAATTTAACATGAATTAAATGTCAAAACTGTAAAAAAGAATTTCTTCACAGAAGTTTTATTTCTTTCCAAATACCTTCTTTTTGTGTTTCTGCCTGCCTTCTAGGAAAAATTTTTATTTCTGGTTTATCTTTTTCTTGTTTCCTTTTTGAAAAATAAATAGGTAAAAAAAAGGTATATATAATATATTCGTATGTTTATTTCCCCCTCATTCTCAGCTCTCCTTTCTCTTGGAAGTCCTTCCTTATGGCAGACTTGAAATACTCTTCACTTTGGTTTTTTTTTTTGCCTTTTTTTTCCTAGACCTCACTATTTATTAGCCCATGAAGATCTTCCTCATTCTTTCTTAAAACTGTATTATTCAAGTGGGTACTTACATCATTTCTGATATTTTGCTATCATAAACAATTATTCAGTAAATATTTTTTAAATCCTTGTGTTATGACAAAGACAAGTCCCGTAGGCAGCTAGTACAAACATAGGTCACCTACAAAGAAAATCAAGTTGTTTTTTTTTCAAGTTGGTTTTCAATTGATATAATACTGTACCTAGAACAGAGCCCGACACATAGTATTTATTTTGTTTAAAATTCATTCTTATTTTTAGGTCATGCATGTACATAATGATGTTGAGCTATTTAATTGATTATTTTCATAATTATTCCATATCCATATGTATATACTGCATATCTTATGCTTTGTGGTTTTCTATCCCTGCTTCATAACTCAGCAGAGAGGGTCCTCCTAGTTTGTCCTTGCCATTACCCTAGGATTTAGTAGATGATGTATTTTATCATCTCTCTCCTATTTGGGACCACTAGTCCCTAAAGGGCTGGCTTTTCAGCACCTAACAGAATGCCTGTCATCAGTAAGTACTTAATATATTTGTTAGTTGAAAGAAAGGATTAAAAAAATCATTACAGTTACAGATTTAGCAAAAAGTGACTAAAAGGAAATTATGTTCACTTTCTTTTTCTAGTAAAAGCACACATCTGTTTTATTCATTTTGCTTTTTATTTTTTTCTCTCCAAATTTAGTCTGTGCTGAGACCTATAATCCTGATGAGGAAGAGGAAGATACTGATCCAAGGGTAAGAACTGTGGCAAAGGTATTAGGTAGAATTGTTTTATTCCCCACTCCGTCCTCTACTCTTCTACACACCAAATCTAATTATGCTGATAATTAAAATGAATACAAATTAAAATCTCAACAAGATGCCATTCGAAGGATTGGTAAGAAGGGGTGCCTAGCTGGAGCTGTTAAAACCTTCAACATAGTCAAGCCAACTGACTCGGCATTTGCCTGACGAGTTCATTTTTCAGAAACAGTTGGATCCTTCCTAAGGATGTGACAGTGGAGGTCATTACAGTGTTGTAGTAGCGGTCTCTCTTTTTGTTTATTTATTTATTTGTACAAACAATTATATCTGGAAGGATATATCCCAGATGTTAACAGTGATTATGGCAGGGCTGTGGTTGACTTTTGGTTGCTTTTTTTAAAACTCAGGTTTTTAAACTCTTGTACAGTTAACAAATTACTTTTATAAAAGCAACTGTGAAGCATCATTTTTAAAAGATTGATGTTACAAAAGAAACTTTAATGATCTTTCAGTATGCCTTAAAATGAGAAGCCTATGAAAGATTTCTGAAGTATTCTAATAATAAAATGCTACCATTGTGTGAATACAATAGACATGTAGATTAAAATTTTTTTTATTCTGGATATTACAAAATTCTCGATGACTTTTCAAAGTTAAAATGGCTTTTTACTAACTTTTTAATGTCATAAATTCAAAATATTTAACACTTGATATGTTTTTTTCTGGGTAGATTAAGTGAGGACTTTTTTTTAGGATGAAGATGATACTTAGGAGCTTGATAAGTCTCTCAATTATAACAACAATACTAGGCAATAATTGTTTTCTTTAATTGAATAAATATTTATTGAATATCTAATAATAGTAGTAGTTTTTGAGCACTGACTGAATGTCAGGTACTGTTTTAAACACTGCGTGTATTAACTCATCTAATCCTTAGCATAACTCTAATTTTATAGATACCACTACTACCACCACCAATAATAATGAGTTGTTGATGTTTGAACTCTAGCTTGTATAACCATTGTTTACTTTCCATCTCTGCTTAGATTTTAATAGACAACTCACACTTAGCATGAACCCTTGATTATTTCCCTTTAAACATTCTTCTCCACCCACGGTCTTCTCCAGCTCAATTCATGGCAACTTCCTCCTTCCAGTTGCTCAGGACCAAAACTTTAGTGTTACCCTCAGCCCCTTTGAGTTTTCCATACCCACATTCGATTTTTCAGCAAATCCACTGGGCTCAGTCTTAAGAACATATCCAGAATTCCATTACTTCTCAGCACCTTTGTCACTGCCACCCTGTTCCTAACCACCACTGTCTGGCACTGGGTGATGATAGTAGTTCCTGGCTTTCGCTCTTTCTTCCCTCAAGGCAGTTCTTTACTCAGCAGCTGCTGTGGGCCTTTAAAAACATTAGTCAGATCTCTTTCTTTCCTCAGCCACAACTCTCATGTTGCCCCCATGTCACTAGAAAAAAGTTCCAATTCCGTGACCTACAATGCCCTCTGTGGTTTGGGCAGCATCCCCACCCACCCCTTCAGCCTGGTCTTATCCTGATCTTTCCCCCTTGCTCTGCTTCAGTCACACCTGTCTCCTGGTTATTTCTCAGATTTGCTCTTCACCTCCCATGAGGCTTTGTTTTTACTTGATGGTTCTGTCTGCTTGAGGTGCTTTTCCCACAGATGATCCACATGACTCACTCCCTCAGGTTGTCCTCACTTCCTTCTCAGCACCGTCGCATCTGGACACCCACACACACTTTTTATCATTCTTCTCAGCTTTGTTTTTCTCCTTGGCCTTGTCACTCTTCATCATATTTTATGTATTGACTGTGAGCACAGATATTTTTGTTTGTTTTCACAGCTGTGTCCCCAGAGGTAGGACAGTGCCTGGCACCTCGTAGATTTGAATGAACAAATCTATAACCCTCTGCTTTACAGATGAGAACTCTGAGGCTCCAGGGGGTATCTGACTTACTGGCAGCCGCATAGCCAGTGGGTGGCTCCAGGGTGGGCGCTCTTACTCTGACATATTTCCCTCCATGACAAAGGCACTGCTTAGTATATGCATAGAATTAAAATTATAGTAAACATTCTCTTAATTTTTTCCATTTTTAAGGAAAAAGATATATACCAATTTGTAAATAGGATTTTTAAAAGAAATAAAACATTTTCTTGGTTTTATTTGGCTTGACAGGTGATCCATCCTAAAACTGATCAACAGAGATGCAGACTTCAGGATGCTTGCAAAGATATTCTCCTTTTCAAAAATCTTGATCAGGTAATGTTGATTTAAAAAAACATTTTTTTTCCACTTACATTTGAATTCAGTATTATATTAGTTTCAGGTGTACAACATTGTGGTTAGACATTTATATAACTTATGAAGTGATCGCCCCCATAAGTCTAGGACACACTTGGCACCATACATAGTTATTACAATATTATTGACTCTATTCCTTATGCTGTACTTTACATCCCTGGGACTATTTTGTTAAATGCCAATTTGTGTTAATTCTTTCACCTTTTTTACCTAGCTACTTAATCTCCCTCCCATCTGGCAACTGTCAGTTTCTTCTCTGTATCTGTGAGTCTGTTTCTGTTCTGTTTTTTGATTTTAGATTCCACAAATGAGTGAAATCATAGGTTATTTGTCTTTCTCTGATTTATTTCACTTAGCATAATACCCTCTAGGTCCATCCATGTTGTCACAAGTAACATTAGTTTTTAAAATATTTTTGTCTTTAGCTTTTTTCCTGTTTGTCGTTTAAACAGTTTTTAGTGTCTTAGCCAGCTATATAAGGCATAAAACTTTAGAGTCATCTTACTTATGAATGTTTGCATTCTGTTGACCATCATAACCCATGATTAGCTTTTCAGATGACTTTAGTATTTCTCAGAACGGCTTTGGCACTTCCTCCAAAACAGTACCATTTGAGGACTATACAGTTTGGTCATGTAAAAAGGAAATGCTCAGGTTTGCATGACCCTGGCTTAGTTTGAAGAGTTTGAATTCATGCTGCAGAATAATTTCTCCAAAGATGCCAGTGTGGAGTTCTCTTCATCAGTATCAGTTAACCCACTGGAAGTGTGTGACTGCTTCTCAGACCTTAGGTGTGGGGCAGCTCTTGTGATTACTTCTCAGTGAGGACCTCAGATGTGGGGTGCACACAGAGTGGTATTTATCTGCAGGGCCCTGGCATAGAGACCTCTGCCTGGACTTGTCTTCCGTTCCTTGGTGGAGATAGAGAGCAGGGGCTACCTCCTGAAGACAGAATCTTCAAATTTCCTGTTTCTTTTTTACTTTGAGGGCCACACTCTGAAGCCACATGAATGGCTGAGGTGTTGGGCCTACTGGAGAATCCCCGAATGTGCAGAAATAGGAAGGATGGGATTAGATATCTCTTGCTACCCAGCTCCTGCAAGTAAGTCTTCTGAAGACACCTCTATAGCCTATCCTGGGAAGCCGGCTGGTCAAACATGAGTTCGTGATTATTTAGTCAAGGGAAGCAACCATCCCTGGTGTCTAAAAACCAGTCTATTTGGTAGCTGTGTGGTTACAGGAATGTCTAGAATTTTAATGAGTTTTATTAGTCTCAGGCTGGATAAAGCAAAACAAGGACAATGAGCTCAAGGAAAGGCTGGTTGTGAGAAATACTGGTCTCTGTCAGCTCTTTTCTCTGGAAGGCCCATCTATATCAATGGAAAGGGGACTTGCTTCTTTATCTACTGTGAATAAAACCTCTTGTAAATTTAATACCATCAGATGTTCTAAGAGAAGTTGCTATGTAAAATTTTCAGAGTTTTCTTAATGTTGGAAAATGCCATTTTACCATTTTAGTGTTGAAAATAACTGAATTTTCTGATTTAATTATTTTAAAAAATATTTTGTCATGGAAATATTCAAATACAACAAAGTTGAAAGCATTTTATGGATTACGCATTTATTCACTGCCTTGATAAACATTTTACCATGTTTGCTACATTATATTACCATCTACCCATTCCTCAGCAAAGGGGTTGGCAAAACTTTTCTTAAAGAACCAGATAGTAAATATTTCTGTCACAACTACTCAACTCTGTTATTGTAGTCGGAGAGCAGCTGTAGATAATCCATAATTGAAAGGTTGTAGTTATGTTCCAATAAAACATTATTTACAAAATCAGGTGGCCGTTTGCTGGCTCCTGCAATAACCCATCTTATTTTGGGGGGTGTATTTTATTTTATTTATTTATTTTTTATTTTAATTAGTTTCAAGTATACAGCACATTGGTTAGACATTTACATAGTTTATAAAACAATCCCCCTAATTGCTCCTTCTCTCCTCTGGTTTTCCACCTAGCCAATATATTAATGCTAACTACCTTCCTTATTCCGTGCTCCCCATCCCCGTGACCATCTATCAACAACTAATTTGTACTTCTTTAATCCTTCACCCCATTCTCCCAGCCCCCCAACCCCCCTCCCCTCTGTCTGTCACTAAATTGTCCACTATATGTGTGAGTCTGTTTTGATTAGTTTGTTCTTTTTGTTCTTTAGATTTCGCATGTAAGTGAAATATGGAAGGTGTATTTTAGAGTAAATTGCAGATATCAGTATATTTTTTCTTATATACTTTAGCATGCTTTTCATGAACTAGAGTTCAATATTCGTTTGTAATTTTTTAATGTAAAGTATGCATTTGCTGAGGTTTGACAAATGCATACACTTAGCAATCCAAACTCCTGTCAAGATATAAAACATGGCCACCATTCCAGAAAGTTCCCTTATGCCCCTTCATGATTAATACTTGCCTCTTTCCCCCGCAGAGGCAATTACTATTTTGATTTATTCTACAGTAAAATTCTTTGTCTGTTCTAGGATTTCATATAAATGGAACCATACAGTATGTACTCTTTTGTGTAAGACTTCTTTCACTCAGCACAGTATTTTTTTAATGTTCATCCATGTTGCATATTTTAGTTCATTCCTTTTTCTTTTTTCACTTTTTATTTTGAACTAGTTTTAAACTCAGAAAAAAAGTATCCAAAAAGTAGAGATTCCATATATTCCTTAATCAGCTTCCCCCAATATTAACATCTGCATAAATTTAGTAATGTTATCAAAACCAGGAAATTAGTGTTGTTACAATACTATTAAACTACAAACCTTATGCAGATTTTACTACTTTTTCACTAATTTTTTTTTTTGGTTAAGGATCTAATCCAGAAGCCCATGTTGCTGTGAGTTGTTATCTCTCCTTAGTCTCCAATCTGTGACAGTTTTCAGTTCTTTCTAGCCTTTCATGATATTGGCACTTTGAAAAGTACTGGTTAGTTATCTTATAGAATATACCTCGGTTTGAATTTGCCTGATGTTTCTTCATGATTGGCATGTGGTTATACATTTTCGACCAGACTAACACACAAATTATAGTGTTCTTAGAGCATCGTATCAAGGGGTCCGTGATGTCTGTATGTTTTATTGCTGGTGATGTTAGTTCATTCTTTTTTATTGCTGAGTAGTATTCTGTTACATAAAAATACCAGTTTGCCTAATCGTTTTTCTGTTAATGGGCACCTGGTCTGTTTCTCATTTTTAGCTCTTGTGAATAATGCTGTGAACATTTTACACAAGTCTTTTTGTGAACTTTTTTCCCCATTTCTCTTCAGTAAAATACCTGAGGGCAAAATTGTTGAGTCATAGGATAGGTATGTGTTTGATTTTCTAAAAATCTGCCACATCTTTTTCAAAATGGTTGTACCATTTTGTATTCCTTCAACAGTATATGAGATTCCCAGTTGCTCCGTATTCTTACCAACATTTGATGTTGCCTATCTTCTTAAATGTTAGCCATTCTGATGAGTGTATTTGTTTCAATTTTTAAAAATTTATTTCCCAAGTTTCTGTTTTTAATTTTAAAATTTACAAAAAAAAGTCAAAAGAATAGTATTTGAACACTCACATACCCTTTACCTAGACTGACCGGTTGTTAGCATTTTGCCACATTTACTCCTCTCGTATGTGAATGTACACACACATATAAGTGCATATAAATAGCTTTTTCCTCATGTTCTGAGCCATTTATGAATATGTTTATGACATTATGACTCTTTGCCACTAAATACCTTAAGAACAAGGATATTTTCCTACATTAACACAATGCTATTATTAAACCCAAGAAATTTAACATTGGTGTAATAATATTATATAACATACAGTCATATTCAGATTTTCCCAGTAAAGTTCTCTATAGCTTTTTTGTTTTATTTTTTAATCCTGAATCACGTGTTTTTGGTTGTCATGGTGTCATTTTAGTTCCCTCTAACCTACAATGCTCCCCTGGTACCTTATTCTCTATCTAATGGCACTGATTTTTTTTAAAGAGTCCAGGCTAAAAGAAGAAGAGTTACTCAGAACAAGAGGCTGCCAATGGACAGCCCACAGGCCACGTACAGCCAGGTGTACATGTGTATATTTGGTCTGTATTGTCCATGAAAATTTGAATTTGTTACCTGTACAGTCACGTGTTACTTAGTGACAGGAAAACATTCTGAGAAAGTGCAGCATTAGGTGATTTTGTCGATATGGAAACATAATGTGCTTGCACAAACCTAGAAAGTGTAGCCTACTATACACCTAAGCTATGTGGTATAGCCTGTTGCTCCTAGGCTACAAACCTGTGCAGCATATTACTGTACTGAATATTGTAAGCACTTGTAACAGTGGTATTTGTGTATCTAAGTATATCTAAACAGCAGGCGACTAAATCATGCACGGGAGAAAATGATGCAATGAAGAGACCCAGTAAACAAGAGATGTATGAAGCTGCTGCCAGCATAACACAGCATACTGTGTTACAACAAACTTTCTTCTTACAAGTAGAAAGAGAACACTCCTAACAGTAAAAAATAGAGTATAGTAAATACATAAACCAGTGACATAGTTGTTTATTATCAGGTATTATGTACTGCACATAATTGTACGTGCTATACAACTGGCAGCATCACCACAAACACATGAGTAATGCGTTGCGCTACCATGTTGACAGAGCTACAGCCTCGCTAAGTAATAGGAATTTTTCAGCTCCATTGTAATCGTGCGGGGCCACCATTGTATATGCAGTCCTTCGTTGACCAAACGTTGTTATGTGGCACATGGCTGTATTTGAACATGAGATTTCTGGCAGCACTAGGCTCACATTCCACATGAATGTGGATGGGACATTAGTAGCAAGCCTATCTTTTCAGTATTTGTCAGTTTGCACAGTATACAACACACATGGAACTGTGGAATTAAAGAGATGCTTTTTGGTGATACTCAGGTATTTTAGATAGCGTGGTAACACCGACAGAACACCAAGTCACATGGAATTGTGCAGCAATAAAATTATCCTTTGCCACGTGTTCAGTCCATATTCCTCCAAAGAGAAACTCTTTCTTTGAGTTGGTGTTCTTTAGTGCCCCCTGACAATCCGTGATCTCCCTGCCTGACAGTGAGACCCTAGCCCTAGACTGAGACTACTGTTTTGTTAAAATTTATTAGCTTCGTTTGTTGCCAGTATACTTATTGGTACAATTACCTTCTGGTAATGGCAGGGAATGTTGGTAAGTAAGTAATTTACGTGTTGTATATAAATGGCTGAGCAGTATTAGTTGTCTGACGATAGATCTAATTTATTGAGTACCTTTTGTGTAATAAATACTTTCCTTAGATTTTTCTCCTTTAGTCACAAAAATTGATGCATGAGAAATTTTTTATTAACTCTCTTTTTACATACGAAAAGATTGAGGCTCAGAGGGGTGAAGCGATGTGCTTGGCTGGTCAGAGCAGTTGTATAGCTGATCTCTGAAGCCATCCCAGCTCCTTAGAGCTGATGATCCTCTTAAGATTAACAATTGTAGGAGGGTGGCATCATACAGTTTTACACGTGACATAGTGGAGCAATCAAGCCAGTGACAGTCATGTGGGTATGGCTGGGAGAATGTGCACCGTGATTTCGATACCTATTTTTGCTTAAATTATGGAACGTTTTTTCAAAGCAATACTACCTCAAAAAACTTGGCAACTATGCTGTGTACATGAAGGTACAAAGCTGCGTGGTCACAGGAAAGCATTTGTTTCAGACACGTAGATTTCCTCTCGAACAGTTTGATTTGGAGACTTCCATCAAGTTACAGACTGAGATAAACATAGTCATTTTTTTTTCCAGCAAATGTCAAAGCCATCTTTTCTCCTTGTGCGTACCCTGCAGGAACAGCTTTCTCAAGTCCTCGATGCCATGTTTGAAAGGACAGTCAAAGTCGATGAGCATGTTATTGACCAAGGAGACGACGGAGACAACTTTTATGTCATAGAACGGTAGGAGATGGAGCTTTGCAGTTGTGCGGCCACACTTAGGATTTATGATTCAGGGCAAGTGCTTTACGCTGTGCTTTGTTCAGCCCCGAGAGGACTTAGCCAAGTGAACAAGCTTCCCAAAGCTCACCCCACTCTGTCTACGGCATGCCCCTCTCTGTGCAGTGCTGTTTCGAGTCAGTACAGCTCATACTTGGGTTGCCACTATGTACAGTAGAGCGTCTCCTTTACGATGAGGTGCGATGTGCTTTATGAACGTGTTATTTGCCAGTGTTCAAGTAAACTGGCTTCCTGAAAAATAGCCGTGACACTGCTGTGCTCTGGATCTTTCAGTCCCAGCCTAACTCTACTCACGAGTACACTGCCTCCACCTCCATGCCCCTGGCCTCTTCTGGCTCCGTTCCAGATACAAGTCATGTTGGGAAATATGAACTGTGTGGGTTTGACCTGCTTGCCTTCGTGTGTCCTAACTTCTTGAGCTGGTAGTATCATCTGGGAGGCTCCTCATGACCCCCTTCTCAGTCCTGAAAAGAAAACCTTCACCAGAGTTTAAGATAAATAAGACGTTGCCTCACCCAATAACTTCTGTTATTTTCCATTATTTTCTTTCGAAGTAATTTCAGAGTTATAGAAATGTTCTTATAAACAAATAGTATAAAAAATTCTTATAAACCTAGGTTCCCCAGGTTAATGTGTTACCACATATGCCTTATTAGGTGTCTAAGAGTCAATTGCAGGTATAATGCCCTTTTATCTCTGAATACTTCATTGTGTATTTCCTAAAAATAGGACATTCTTTTATGTAAGTATAGAACAATTATGAAAATTAGAAATAAACATTTATACAGTACTGTCTACTATACAGACTTATTCAAATTTTCCCAAATGTTTCCTGGTTTTTGAGGGTCTCTTAATCTCCATCAAGGTTCAGTTGGTTCACTGTCTTGTCAAAAGTCTTTGCTCATTCAAATTGTTGAACAGAAAACGTTCTCACTTGGGTAACCTTTGGGTTCTTGATATTTGTGACAGTATTGTAAGTAGAAGAAATGTTTTATTTAAAGAGTAAAGATAATACAAATAATATCTTCTTAAAGACTGTTTTACTTTTTTCTGTTATGCTCATGCTTTCTACATAGAATTCTATAAGTAGTGACAGAATAATTTTTTAAGGTATATTATCACCTCCAGCAGCTACCTTTCCCCCTTGCTCTGCCATGTTTCCCCCACCAACTCAGGAATCCCAGTAGGCACATACAGCCTGAGAAACAAGCACCACACACACATATCCATAGCCTAAAGCTTCAGAATGGTTTGTTACATGTGTGATCGAGAAAGATTAACTTTTGTATGCTATGAAAGTGCTTATTAACTAGTCAGAAAGACATCATTCAAGTAAAAAGATATATTGTTCCTGACCTCAGAAAACTCATTATCTAGTTGGAGAGACAGACCCTTAAACAGATAATTATTACATAATGTAACAACAGTGATAAAAATATGTCTCATTATTTAGAAGAGGACCTGAGTGAGAGAGGTTAGGAAAGACTGCTTTGCGGCTGCCTGAAATGATTTGTGTTAATTCCCCAAATTAAGCAGCTAGTGTCTCCTGGAGGAGAGACGAAAAACACGTAAGTGGATCTACTCTGAATCTTGCTTCCCATTCGTAGCCTCATAACATTTGCATTGTCCAGCAGGTCTAGTACACGTTAGTGGCCCTGTTGAGTGGTGAGCTCCTTTAAGAGCAGGGTCGGTGCCATGTAACTGATAGTTGAGTGATTGGCTTTATTTTCTGCTTCTTGTATAACATATGCCACCTGGTGATTTTATCAGACAAGCAGAGACTCTATAAGAAATTTAGAAAATAAAAAAATTAAAATAGGGAAAAAAGTAATTTAGCCATAATTTCATTACCAGAATATATCCTTCCTTCCCCTTCCACCTTCCCTGAGCTTTACTGTTGAGGTCAGATCCATTATCTCAAATTTGGTTTAGATGTCGAGACTGATGATACCAAACAAACAGTAAGAGAATGAAAAGGTTTCTTACTCAGGTAAAGAGGCTTTTTAGGGAGAGCAGGGTAGGCTCCCAAAAGGTCTAAAAATGACTTGAGACAGCAGGGAGGAGTGACTGGCTTGGAATTTCATGGTGGTGAGAAGGTGGGGCTGAAGTGGGGATACTCTCTCTGTGTATGGGCTGGCACTTGTTTGAATTTCTCATCAGTACCAAAGAAGGGAGCACCAAGGCTTTGTTATCAGCTTTTCCAGGTGCGAGACAGAAAAGTAAGGAGGATCGAAGTGGTTGGGCTTGAAAACTAACACAATCAAACATCAAAAATGGAGTTGACTCTATTGCATTTGCATATATATTCTTTTTATGTTGGGTCATACATTGTTGTGTGGCCTGATATTTACAATCTATTTTAAGTAGTTTGCCATGGGATGCAGTATTATTCTATGTCATCATTTATACAGACCGTACAATGTGAATATAGACATATATTTGACCTATCCCCTATTGTTAGCAGATTAAATTACAATTTTTGCTGTTATAAATATTACTTGATGAGCATCCCTGCAGTTAAATCTTTTTTCAGTATCTTCGATTATCTCCTTTAGAATGCCTACTAGAAATGGAATTGCTGTGTTAAAGGGTCTCTTTAAGGAATTTGCTATATGTTGTTAATGATCTTGCAGAAACTAGGGTACATTTACATTTGCCTCAGTGGTGTATTTATTGAGAGTTCCTATTTCTCTAAATGCTTGTCGGTTCTGAATATTATTATTTGGCAACCATTATCAATCAACAGATAGAAATTTTATTTTTTTGGTTTCTTTATTTTAATCAGTTCTACATCCTAGTTTTCAACAGACTACAAAAGAAAACCCATACAGTCATTTCAATACCAGCAGAAAATGGATGTGACAAAATTTGGCACATTTTCTTGATAAAAACTCTCTGCAAACTAGGAACAGAAGGGACTTTTTTCCAACCTGATTAAAGGCATTTATAAAAAACCTACAGCTAACATACTTAATGGTGGAAAATTTAATGTTTTCTCCTTAAAAGGACGTCTGCTCTCACCACTTCTATTCGATACCGTACGTAGGTCCTAGCCAATGCAATAAGGAAAAGAAAAAGTGGGAGAGAAGGAGAGATGGAGGGCATCTAGATTGGAAAGGAAGAAGTAAAACTGTCTTTGTTTGCAGATGACATGACCCTCTAGAAAATTCCAAGAGTGCTACAAAAAAGCTACTAGAACTGGTATTTGAGTTTAGCAAGGTCATAGAATACAAAGTCTAAATGCAAAAATCTGTTGAGAATCCCCTATAACAACATTTTATATCATATGTACCTTCTATTTGTGTACCAACTGCCAGTTCTTAAATTTATTATTAGAAGTAATAAATAAAATTGTTTCTCGTTATACTTTCAGGGGAACTTATGATATTTTAGTGTCAAAAGATAATCAAACCCGCTCTGTTGGTCAGTATGACAACCGTGGCAGTTTTGGAGAACTAGCTCTGATGTACAACACCCCAAGAGCTGCTACCATTGTCGCCACTTCAGAAGGCTCCCTTTGGGGACTGGTGAGTTGGAGAAATGGTTCCCCTTGCATGGCACAGTGTTAATTCCGCTTACTTCTGGGTTTCTATCCTTGGGCTGTTGGTTAACACTATATTTTATAGCCAGTTATCTGAAAGATATTGTGAAAGGTCTTGTACCAATGTATTTTTTTATTTCTCTAAAATGATTTGTCAATAAACTGTTTACTCCAAATAACAGGGAAAAAACTGGGTCTTCTGACCTTGCAGTCATGTCAGCTCTTATTGCATTTTCTGTTTGTTTTTACAGCACAAATTGTGGGGGGTGATGGTGGGGTAGGGAGGTGGCAGATAACTCTACTCTCTGTGTAAGAAACAGCCTAGGAAAATAAGTGTCATCGAATGCTCTGCCAACAGTGTTTTTCCTCCTCAGCTGGCCAGGACTAATGTTCAGCCATCCACTTGTGCATTGGTCCATGCCAAATCCAGTAATTTAGATGACTAGAAAGACTGATAGCCATATTCTGGGAAAGAATTTTCCTAGGCACAGCACAACTGTGTTCCCTGTTCTTTATTATACATGACCCACCTTGCTTCCTTCAGCATCAAGCCTTCAAAATATGTAACTTTCTTCCTTCTTAAATAAAATAATCATCCTCTTGTACAGATTCCAGATTTCACTTTTAAAATGTTGACATCTATAATAATTTGTTTCTATTTACCTTACAAGCAGAATTACATGTGTACCACAGAATTATCAACATATTCCTTCAGATGAAATCACGTTTTAAAGATATAGCACTTCACTGTGATTTAAGAAGAATTAAGAATGCTCCTGAGAAATGAGTGATACAGTGGCTTAAGAATAGATCACACGCTCTGGGGACTCAGTGATTGAAAAACTCAAGGTTGGATCAGTAAATAATGGACGAAAATAAACTCAGTTTTAAAATGCATTGATGCCAACTACTAGTCCAGGCTAAGATAGAATAACCCCATTCCTCACTACTCTTCTCCCTTAAAACTAAAAAACTCTAGGTATTATACAACTAACAAATGTAGGGAGATCCTAAAAGATGGAAAGGAGAAGGCAGACTGGCTAGGATCTCAGGACTTAAAGAAGGACATGATAGCGAGTTCCCTGGGTTTTCTTATTGCTTTCCGTATATCCCAGACGGGGTGCTGGAAAAGCCTACAACCCAGATCCAACAACAGGTACATATTAAAATAACCCCAAGCTCCAGCCAAATACAAAAGGAAAAACTGCTTCTGTCTCCCCACAGTGTCACTGGGGCTTAGCAGAAAGCTAGAGTTCCAGCCTGACCCAGCAGCAGAGAGGCAAAATGAGGTGATGTGTGGTATTGCTAATTGGCACTCCACTTTCCCTGCCATGGTAGTGTCATTGGGGTTCAGGAGGGAGGTGATTGTGCACTCCTAAACAGGGTGACAGCCTACACAAAAAATAAGATGAAATAGGATACAGAGTTTCACAACATAGTACCCAAAATGTTCAGGATGCAATAGAACATCATTTGTGAGACCAAGAACAAGGATGTTCTCAACTTGAATGAGAAATACAATTAACAGATGCCAACAAGAAGATGGCACAGATATTGGAAGTAGCTGACAAGCATTTTGAAAGCACCATCATAAAAATTCAACAAGCAATTATGAACACACTGAAAACAAATGAGATAAAAAAAAAAAAAACAACAGAAGGTCTCAGTAGAGAAATAGAAGACAGAAAGAAGATCCGAATGGAAATTTTAGAACTGGGAAATACAGTAACCAAAATAAAAACTCACTGGATGGGCTCAATCGCAGAACGAATATGAGCGAGGAAAGATCAATGAACTTAAAGATAGAACAATAGAAATTACCCAGTCTGGAAAAAAACAGACTGAAATGAAGTGAACAGAGCCTGTGGGATAATACCAAAAGATACAGTATTTGTATCAGAGTCCCAGAAGGTGAAGAGAAAGCGTATAGAGCTAAAAAATTATTCAAAGAAATAATTGTAAACTTTCCAGATTTGGTGAAAGATACTAAACCTACAGATTCAAGAAGCTGAGTGAACTTCAAAATGGATAAACCTAAAGAAATCTATGCCAGGACACATCATACTCAAATTTCAGAAAAGAACTAAAGACAAAAAAAAAAAAAAATTGAAAGCAGCTAGAGAGAAACAATGCATACATGTAGGAGAACAACAGTTTGGATGACACCGGATTTCCTATCCATGGAGGCCAGAAGGAAGTGGCACAGCATTTTTCAAGTACTGAAAGAGAACTGTCAACTCAGAATCCTACACCTAGTGAGACTATCCTTCAAGAATGAAGATATTCTCAGATAAAAGAAAACTAAGAGACTGTTACCAGCAGGCCTACTTGAAAAGAAGTTCTTCATACAGAAAGGAAATAAAGAAATTTGGAACATTAATAATGAAGAAAGAACAACAGAAAGAGCAAATACATGGGAAGATAAAAAGGGCATCCTCCTCTTGAGTTTTCTAAATCATTTTAGATGGTTGAAACAAACTTACATTGTCTACGTGGTCCCCAGTATATGCAGAGGAAGTATTTAAGACAATTGTAATCTAAAGTGGGGAAAGTAAAGAGGCCTAAATGGAAGGAAAGCTTCTACACTCTACTCAAACTACTAAAATGTTGACACCAGTAGACTGTGACAAGTTCATGTATAATACCTAGAGCAGCCACTAAAATAATCAGTACAAAGAGATACACTCACAAGCCTTTAAATCAAAGTGGAATTCTAAAAAGTGTTTAGGTAACCCATAGGAAGGCAGAAAAACTTAAACAGAGGAACAAAAAGCAGAGGAAACAACAGAAAACATACAATAAAATGGTATACTTAAGCCCTAATATATAAATTATTGTAAATATAGATGATCTAAATATACCAATTAAGTGACAGAGACTGGTAAAATGGATTTTTTTAAATGACCCAACTATTTGCTATCTACAAGAAACAAATATGATATAGATAGGTTGAAAATAAAAAAGATAGAAATAGATAAACCATGTAAACATTAACCTCAAGAAAGCAGGAGTAATTATATTAGTATCAGATAAAGTAGACTTCACAACAGAAAATTACCGGGGACAAAGGAGCATTACATAATAATGAAAGGATTAATCTATCAAGAAAACATAGCAATCCTAAATATGCATACAGCAAACAACAGAGCTGCCAAATATGTAAAGCAAAAAGTGGTAGAACTGAAAGAATAGACAAATCCACAATTATAGTTGCAGACTTCAACACCCCTCTCTCAATAATTGATAAAACAGCTAGACAAAATCAGAAAGAACACAGAAGAAATTAGTAACACCGTCAACAAAAAGGATCTAATTGAAATTTATAGAACACTCCACACAGCAATAGGGTACATGTTCTTTTCAAGCCACGGATATTCACCAAGATAGATATAATGAGATATAACAGGAAAATCTCCAAACACTTGGAAATTAAGTAACACATTCCCAAGTAATCTCTAAATCAGAGAGAAAGTCTCATACGACTTTTTTAAAAAATTAAACTGTAAAACCACCTATCTTGTGGTTGTGTGAGAATTAAATAGATAGACATAAGAGAAGCAGCTCCTGGCATAAGATAAGTGCTACAGCGCGGTGGCACCTGCTCCCTGCGGTCTTAAATAGATAGACATAAGAGAAGCAGCTCCTGGCACAAGATAAGTGCTCCCCGCGGTTATGGTGGTGCTCACCACCCTTATCTTCCTGAGGCTCCCTCTCCTGAGATCCCGGAACTGCATTTCTACTCCCAAACCTTGTCCTTTGCAGTCTATTCTTCCTTTCTCTGCTGTCTTAAGTGACCTATCATGATTCCCTTTTCATCTCTGCTTTTTTCCTGCTTTATTCACTTTCTTTACAGCCCAAACCCTCCTAAAGCTTCAGTGCCTCCTCCAGGAAAGTGACTCCCAGAGCATCCTCTATAGCCTGACTTCTTGTGCTTTCCAAGGCCTCCTGAGGCCAAAGCAGGGAGGACTTGGTGCTATCACTGAGTTTCTTAAATTGGATTCTACATTCCTTCTCTTACTGGAGGCAGCTGCCACCATGCTCACTACACTTAATCTCTGCTCCCATGCTCTCTTGCTTGAGTGAAAGTCAATAGAAACTTTCTTGGGAAACTCCTAAAGTCAGAGGAAAGTGTAGCATTCCTTTTCTCTTTTAAACTTCAGGGTCGTTTGACTCTGAACACTTACTGCCTACTATTTCCCAGTGGGAGTTTCCTCTTCACTACTTCATTGGAAGCTCCCTGAAATCTGGGTTCGTGGGTCTGGTGCCTTTTTATGCCCTCCACAGTCACGAGAGCTGGCCCTGCACAGCATGAGGGTTCTGGGAGGTATGAAAGCATGCATAGAAAGGGTTAGAACATGAAGAGACAAGTTTCTTTTAAGAGAAAGCAGTTTTCAGCTGGAAATACAGTTTGCTATTGCAATTATAGTAATCTGGGTAACATGATAGGTGGATTTTTTAAATGTCATTCTTGACAATGCCTACTCAAACATAAGGAAGAAAACTTTATATTTCCCATTTTCTCAGTCTTGATTGTCCTCTTTTCACAGTACTCCTGGCCTAGATTGGCCCAGAAAACGTGTAGCAACTGAATTCTAAAGATAATGGAATAATTTCCCAAAGTATAACAGTAACATTTTATTTAATGTTACATTCCTAACCTTGGACTTCAAAAAAGTAGTGACATGTGATACAGCCCATTAGAGCAGTCAGAGATTGAATGATTCTTTTCAAGCAGACAGATGGAGAAAATGAAGCAGAATCTGGTGAAATGTTGGAGAGCAGACATTATTTGTATGGCAGTTTAGGGAGAGAGGGTAAGGATCTGCTGTTGCTTGCACTAGCAATGTAGAGTGTAGTAGGTGACTTCTCCTGTGAGGCAGATGAAGCGTGGCCTGGGACAGGGCCTGGGAATTCTGTAGCTAATGGAATATGAGCCATCGAAACCCATTTAGACATCTCAGCTCAGTCATCTTTTATGTGTTTTCTCCACCCCACTTCCATGCCATGATCAAGACTGCTAAAATAGCAAACCTACAGCTAAACATGCCTTTACCCCCTTTCATCCTACCAGGCTTTAAGATGTCATTACTGTACTTCCCCCACCCCAAAATCTTTGTTTATGACAGACTGAGATGGAAGGAAGGGTCTAGTTAACTGAGGTACAAATAATTGCTCACCCATTTAGGATCTTGAAACTAATCAGTATTCTCTTGGCTGTGTGTTCTTCCCCACATATGTGTAGACATATCTGAGAGGTGCTTGGCTATAGCTCTGGTTAACTGTCTCCTCAGTCTGGATCCATGACTTGCTGGGGTCAAGGTACCTTTCACATGCCTCCCCTATCTGTCCATTAATTTAAATTTTACCCTTCCTTCAGGTCCTAGACAAACATATTTTTGCAACAAAAGTATCCTTGACCACTCCAACCTACTGTGATCTCTCTGTCCCTCCTCAGAATTCTTATGGCACTTATTTTGTCTCTAGTTCACCTAGTACATTTCTTATGCTGTGTTGAACTATAGGTTTTTTTATTCCTGTGTATTTTATATTGTCTCCCCATTGAGACTGTAAAGTCCTCGAGCACAAAAACGTGATCGTTTTATCTTCTTTTTCTTATCTCCTTTGCACATTGCATCTTTTTACAATGAACAGTGACAGTGAGCTCACAAATGTTTGATTTGGAGTTTTCATTTTGTATTCTATTTATGACCCATAGATGGCACCCGTTGAGTACTAGATAGCAAGCAACAACATGTGCTACATCTGTCTGGCTCAGGCTACAGGTCTTTTTCTTCCAACGATGACTCAGATTTAAATATCATTAAACACTCTGTTAACCCAGTACCTTTCATTGTCCTTTAATGTTTTCTGTGGTGCAGTTAATTAGACCATAGATGTTCTCTTACACAGGTATTTACCACAATTTTTATATTCTTTCTTGTAGGACCGTGTGACTTTTAGAAGAATCATCGTGAAAAATAATGCAAAAAAGCGGAAGATGTTTGAATCATTCATTGAATCTGTGCCCCTCCTTAAATCACTAGAGGTAAAGTCTATTTGAATAAGACTGTTTATGGTGATTTAAGAAAAGCTACTAAAAATATTCTGTTGTTAGGTTTTCAAATCATACTATTCTAACCCATTTCTGTGTTATTTAGATATTATTTGTCATTTTCAGTTGAGGTCTTTTCTTTATAATTTGTGAGTATGTCCATCGTTTCAGGTGTCAGAACGAATGAAGATTGTGGACGTAATAGGAGAGAAGACCTATAAGGATGGAGAGCGCATCATCTCTCAGGTGAGTGGGGGCCTTGTGCAGTACCTTTCCTGGAAGTCACATCCTGAAGGACTAGGGCATCATTTGTCCTCTCACTTTTGGGAACTCTTGTTGCAAGGTACTAGCACGCACTTCCCACAGTGTCTCCTGAAGCCCGTGGATGCTTTTCTTATGGCATGTGCAGATCTCCTGCCTTCATTCACCTTTCCCTGGCTTCTGCTGTGTGTCCTTTGGGTATCATTTCCTTTTGACCCTGAGTGAGCTTCATTCATCATTGGTTTTTTTATATTTTGTTTTTTTAATTTTATTTTTTTTAGCATTTTATTTTTTATTTTCTCCCTCCCTTTTTCCCCCTCCCTTCTGGTAACCACTAGTCTATTGTCCATGTCCTTGAGTCTCTGTTTGTTTGTCCTGTTCATTTCTTACTTTTAGGTTTATATCCCACATATGTGATATTATGTGATTTTCAACCTTATCTGTCTGGCTTATTTCGCTTATTATGATTATTTTAAGGTCCATCCATGTTGTTCCAAATGGCAGTATTTCATCTCTTATGGCTGAGTAATATTCCATTGTATATATGTACCACAGCTTCTTTAGCCAATCTATCATAGGACACTTCGGTTGCTCATTCATCATTGTTAAAACCTGGAGAAGGTTGAAGGGTTGTGCCCTTTGCCTTCTGTGTATGTTTGGCACAAAGGTACCCTTCTTAGCTAATCTAATAACACATTCCTAAATCTCTAAGTTAGGAAAAGTGAAACAGGAACACAAAACAGGGAACAACAGAAAACATACAATAAAATGGTAGACTTAAGCCCTAAAATATGAATACTTACTGTAAATATAGATGATCTATACGCACCAATTGCAAAGACTGTTACAAACCAGTTTTCGGTCTTCAGTGATTGACCAGATTTATAAGGTGTCTTTAGTGTTTCCTTTGTGCCTTTTTCTCATGTTATTTTAGGGTGCTATAAGGGTCACCACACAGTGTACTGGATCATTGTGATGAGTCGTATGTAATAACTTTTTTTGTTTCCTGTGTTTACATTTTTAATCACAGGCAAACATAGCCAATATTGCAGGTTTGGTTCTAGACCACCACAATAAAGTGAATATCGCAATAAAGCAAGTCAAACAAATTTTTTGGTTTCCTAGTGCATATAAGAATTGTATTTGCACTGTACTGTAGTCTATTAAATGTACAATAGCATTATGTCTTAAAAAATGTATATACCTTAATTAAAAATACTTTATTGCTAAAAAATACTAACCATCATCTGAGCCTTCAGCGAGTCAGAACCTTTTTGCTGGTGGTAGGTCTTGCCCCAGTAAATCGAAGATCACTGATCACAGATCAACATAACAGCTGTAATAATAGTGAAAATGTTCGAAATATTGTGAGAATTACCAAAATGTGACAGAAACATGAAGTGAGCAAATGCTGTTGGAAAAATGGTGCCACTAGACTTGCTCGATGTGGGCTTGCCATAGAACTTCAGTTTATAAAACACACAATATCTGCAAAGTGAAATAAAGTGAAGCACAATAGCACAAGGTATGTCTGTATATATAGACTGTTACGGACTTTGCCAGGTATAAACTTCTCTGCTCGTGGTTCTGGCAAAAACAATGGAAAGATAACTGAGTTGGTCTAGGTTGGGTGTTGTGCACATCCTTGAAGCCAGAGCTGGGGCTAGGAGGAGAAAAGACATTGATTGGTCAACCCTGAGTCCCAAGCCCACCCAGGGGGCCTTTGGGTGCAGTTGGCCCAACCAGCACCACAGGGACTAATCAGGTTTAGCATAGAAGGAGAGAGAGAAAAAGGACTAACAAAAAAAATCCATATCTACTCTGACATCTCTAAAACCCTTTGTATTCCAGATACCTGTTAATAATTCTTTTAATTAGCAATTGGTTTGAGTCTATAAACATTTTTTAAGATAGTCAAGTAGAACCAAATATAAGCTCTATAATAAAGGTTCATATGAATGGCAGTGAGTATATAAAAAGAAGTATTCCATGTGGTTTCTTGGAGGAAATGCCATTCAAGTTGGGCTTATAGAACAAGTATAATTTCAGCAGTCGAGGTCAGGGAAATTTCTTTCAGGAGCAAGAGAACAATATGAGCAAGGGCCTGTGGGTGTGAGCTGTGTTCCAGGGTAGCTATCCTAGTGTGGTGAGAATGCAATGCCGAGTTGCAGAAGCGGGACATGTTGACTGGCCACGTTTGCTCCTGATCCTGAGGTGTTTTCATTTATGGCCAAAGGATTTCTGCTTCATCCTGAAAGCCCCAGGCCTTCAGGAGGTATGTTAAGAGGTATGAGAAGCCACAGTGTTTTCTGGAATGTCTGTGATCTTGAAGATAGAAGTGCCAGGTGGTGGTACAGAATGGACATTAATTAATATGATAATTATTATATACCCTTTGTGGCAGTGTCTCTAGATCAAAGTTCTCTAAGTGAGGCCCCAAGACCAGCAGCAAGCAGCAGCATCTGGGAATGTTAGAAATTGTTAGGAATTGTTAAGAATGCAAGTTCTTGGGCACCACCCCAGACGTACTGAATCAGAAACTGCTTTATGTTGTTTTGTTCGTTTGTTTATTTTGGTCAGCTTTGTTACATGGTATGTTTCACATAGAATAAAATTACCAAGTTCATGTGTACAATTCAAGAATTTTATGACACCCCTACAATCATAACATGTAGCATTTTCATCACCTCAAGAGGTTTCCTCATTTGCATTTTCAGTCAATTCCTTCTTCAAGTCCCTTACTCCTGAAAACTACTGATCTGCCTTCTATCGCTATAGAAATTACTTTTCTATAGTGTGATGAGAACGATTTCATATAAATGAAATCATATAACATGTTGTCTTTTGTAAGGCACCTAGGGTTTTGTGTCTGACTTCTTAGCATAATGTTTTTGAGATTTATCTATGTTGTTGCATGTATCAGCAGATCATTCCTTTTTATCCCTGAGTGATATTTTATTATATGAACATACCATAGTTTGTCTTTCCATTCACCAGTTGAGAGGCGTTGGGCTTTTCTAATTTTTGGTAATTATGAATAAACGTGCAATGAACATTCGCATACAAGTGTTTGCGTGGACACGTTTTTATGGAATTGCTGAGTCACATGGTAAATGTCGTTAAGCAAACTGCCAGATTGTTTTTTTTACATGGCTGTAACATTTTGCATTCCGCCTAGCAGTATACAAGAGGTTCAGTTACTTTGCATCCTCATCAGCACTTAGTGTTGACAGTTTTTAATTTTAGCCATTCTAGGGAGTATGAAGTGGTATCTCATTTTGGTTTTAATTTGGATTTACCTAATATCTAATGCTGAGCATCTCTTCCTATGATTGCTTGCTATCCATATGTCTTCTTTGAAGTATCTGTGCACATCTTTTGCCCTGTTTAAAATTAGGTTATTTGGCTTCTTATGAATGAGTTGTAAGAGTTCTTTATACATTCTGAGTACAAATCCTTTATCAGACAAATGATTTGCAAATATTTCTCTCAGTCTATGGCTGTGGCTTTTCTCTTTATTTTCTTAAGAGTAGTTCTTAAAAAGCAAGCGGTTTTAACATTGATAAGTGCAGTTTGTCATTTTTTTCTCTTGTAATTTGTTCTTTTTGTGCCTTATTTAAAAATATCTTTGCAAGGTCAGTAAGATTTTCTCCTGTGTTTACTTTTGGGCCAGCAGTGTTCAATAGAAATTTATGAGCCATATATATAATTTAAAATTGTTTTAGTAGCCAAATTAAAAAAAAAAAAACTGGTAAACTTATTAATATGTTTGTTTAACCTAATATAGCTAAAGTATTATCATTTCAACATCTAATTGATATAAAAGTTTAGTATGAGCTACTTTACATTCCTTTATTTGATGGGAGGGTAACCCAGTCTTTAAATTTCGATGTGTATTTTACACTTACAGCACATCTTAATCTATACAAACCACATTTCAAGTGCCTAATATCCACTGTGACTGGTGGCTGCTATATTAAGCAGAACAGTTTTAGATGTTTCATAGTTTTAGCTCTTAGATTTAGATCTGTGATCCATTTTGAGTTGTTTTTAGTATATGGTGTAAGGTTAGGGTTTTGCATATAAATGTCCAACTGTTCCAGCACCATTTATTGAAGAGATTATCCTATCCCATTACCTTAACACTTTTATTGAAAATCAGTTGGCCATATATGTTCTCATCTCTTTTTTTGTTCCATTGATCTATGTCTGTCTCTGCCAGTAATGCACTGCCTTGATTATAATAGCTTTATAGAATAAATCTTAAAATCGGATAGTTTAAGCCTCCATATTTTTTGTTCCTTTTTTAAAGTATTTTGGGTATTCTATACTCTTTGCATTTCTGTATAAATTTTAGAACCAGCTTATCAATTTCTACCCAAAAAGCCTGTGAGATTTTTTTTTTTAATTGAGATTTTGTTGAACCTATAGATCATTTGATGGGAGAAATTGACATCTTAACAATAGTGGGTGATATTAAAAACAATATCATCAGTGACGTTGTTGGCTAGAATGCCTGGGGCACTTCACCTGGGCCCATACCATACTATAGGGTGCCTACACAGACATTTCTCTAACTGGAACCAGTGTTGTGGCTGGATCACCCCTTGTGGTTCTTATGATTGCAAGGTGCAGCTTAGCAGCAACCATCAGGGAACTTTGAAAAAGCAAGATTTATTACTCATGGGTCCTGGAGGTTACACGGCACACGCAGGGCCACACAGGTTGCAGGTAGAGAGAGTGAGCATGGAGACCTGGGGTCCTGCCATTATTGGGGATGAGGGTAAGGCACCTAGGGTTTTGTGGATTCATTGTTGGCGAATTTAAAACATTAGAGCAGAAATTAGGGCACAGGAAGGGAAAAGTGGGCCCTCAAATGGTCAGTTTTCAAGGTTAGTCAGGGCTTTCTTAAAGGGGAACTTCATGGGTGGGACCTGCCTAGATCTTTATCTAGTTGTGTAGCTGGCTGTATGTTTGAGATGGGTGTTTTTGAAATGTATGCCTCAGCAATCAAAAGCTCACTGTCAGTCATTTTACAATCAAAAAAGCTTATTGTCAGGCACTTTACACTGCAGTGAGTTCTTGAGCATGGTGTGTTGACGTTTATTTAGGTCATCTTTAATTTTTCTGTCATATTTAGTAGTTTTCAAGTGTAGTGTTCAGGTTTGGCACATCTTTGTTAAATTTATCCCTGAATATTTCATGTTTTTGACACTATTGTAAGTGGATTTTTTTTTCACTTCTAATTATTTATTGCTAGTATATAAAAATACAGCCAAATTTTGTATAGTGATCATGTGGTATCTGCAACCTTGCTAAACTCACTTATTAGTTCTGGAAGCTTTTTTGTAGCTTCTTTGGGGTTTTTTACATAGGTGATTATTTTGATTATGAACAAAGACAGTTTTACTTGTTTTCTAGTCTGTATGCCTTTTTTTTTTTTTTTTTTTTGCCTTATCGTGTTGGCTAGGACCACAGTATAGCACTGAATAGAAGTGGTGAGTGCAGACATCTTTGTATTGTTCTTGCTCTTAGGAGGAACGTATTCATTTGTTCACTATTAAGTATGTTAACTTTGATTTTTTTTACAAATGCCCTTAATCGTTGGGATGGTCCCTTCTGTTCCTAGCTTTTAAAATGTTTATCTTGAAAAGGTGTTGAATCTGTCAAATGCTTTTGCCGTATTTATTGAAGTTTTCATATGGGTTTCCTTTTTTGATTAACTTATATAGTGAGTTGCATTGATTAAATTTTGAGTATCAAATCAAGCCTGCATCCTGGGATGAACCCCTCTGGGTCATACTATATTATCCTTTATAATTATTACTGGATTTAATTGGCTAAAGTTTGGGTAAGGATTTCTGTGTCTGTTCATGAGGGATACTGGTCTGTAGTTTTCGCTCCTTGTGATTTTGATATTTGCCGAAGTTTGAGAACCACTGCTCTAGACCATTCCAAGGCTTGATAATGCACTTGCTTTAAGAATACTTAGTGGAAGACGTGGTTCCATAGTGTAGCGGTTAGCACGTCTGCTTTACAGACAGAAGGTCCTGGGTTCACACCCCAGTGGAGCCATGGTCCATGGTCTATGGCCATGCCACCCTGAACAAGCCTGATGTCTGATCTCGGAAGCTAAGCAGGGTTGGGCCTCGTTAGTACTTGGATGAGAGACGACCTAGGAAGACCAGGTGCTATAGGCATAAAAAAAAAGAATACTTAGTGGAAAAGTTTGAGAACCACTTTCAAAGGGTTTTGAGAGGAAGAATGATGTGATAAGAATTGTATTTTTTTTAACACTTTACAGCACCTGGTCTTCCTAGGTGGTCTTCCATCCAAGTACTAACCAGGCCCGACCCTGCTTAGCTTCCAAGATCAGACAAGATCAGGCACGTTCAGGGTGGCATGGCCATAGACAAGAATTGTATTTTAAAAGCATGGCATCAATGTAAAATAAATTGGCTTCAGCTTCAATGAGTAATCAAGGAAATGCAAATGAAAAAGCACAGTGAAGAATCATTTTCATACCTATTAGCTTGGCAAAAAGTAGGAGTCTGATAATTTCTAGTGATGTAGCAAGAACTTTTATTCTTTGTTTATAGGAGAATAACTTAACTGATCCCTTTGGAGAGAAATGTATCCTCATCCTGTAAAATTGAATTTATTCTGTAATCCAGAAGTTTCTTTCCTTGATATTCTCAGAGAAATACTCTCACACCTCAGAAGCTGCCCTCCACTCTCATGAGTTCCTTCCCAGTCATCTCCTCCTACCTCCCTGCCCTGACTTTATGATCATCGTGTATTTGCTTTTCTTTATGGTTTTTACCACTTATGTACACATCCTAGACAGTATGACCAAGTCTTTCTGGGTTTTTATTATTATTATTATTTCTATCATTAGAATTAGAAAGTAGGTATTTTATTTGCATCCTGCTGCTTTTGCTCAACGTTCATTCATGTTATGTGCAACTAGTTTGTTGGCTTTCGTAGTATTCCAGTATGTGAATAGAAACTATTTGCCTTTCCACTGCTGAGGGACATTTGGAGTGTTTCTAGTTTTTAGCTATTACAAACAAAACTTCAATGATTACATTGATTTGATTTTCAAATGTTAAAGCAACCTTGTGTTGCTGAGATAAGATAAACCAACTTGGCCATTGTGAAGTATCCTTTTTATATATTGATGAATCCAATTTGCTAATATTTTGTTTTAAGATTTTATAGCTAGGTTCCCAAGTGAGTCTTACTTAAAATTTTCCTTCCTTTTAATAGTAGCCTTGTCAGATTTAGATATCAAGATAATGTTAGACTAATAATGTAAGTTGGGATCTGTTTTCTTTCTATTATATCTGAAGAGTTTGTGTAAGACTAGAATTTCTTGGCTATTTTATGAAACCAATGTTTTCTTTGTGGGAAGATTTTGACTACAGATTACATTATCTTAATGTTAAACTATTTAGGTTTTCTATTTCATCTTTGGTGTGTTTTGGTAAGATCTATTTTTCTAGGGATTTATCTATTCTAAAATTCAGTGTTATTAGAATAAAGTTGGTCATAGTGTTTCTATTAATATATTTTAAATGTCTACAGCATCTAGAATGATGTTCCTAGTATTCCTAATATTGTTGTTTTGTGCTTTCTCTTTTTTCTTGCTCAATCTTGCCAGGGACTTGTCAATTCTTTAAGTCTTTTTGAAGAACCATCTTTGCCTTTTAGTAATTCTATTGAATGTTTGTTTCCTATTTCATTACTTTCTGTCTTTATCTTATTTCTTTTCTTCTACCTTCTTTTAGTTTCTTCCTATTCTCTGAGTTGGATGCTTAGCTCTTTACTTTTTAGCTTTTCCTCTTTATGTTACGGGCATTTTAAAACTAGAAAAATCCCTATATCTCTGAAGATTGATGACGATCTTCAGCACTTAGAGGTTCCTACCGTTAAGTCCCTTGGACAGTTGTGCTCTGACTGCTGTGACTCTTTAGCACCAACATGCCACTAGCTTCTTCCTGCAGCCCAGTTGTTCCATACATGTAGATTGTGCCTGAGGAGGGGTGCCTTGCTTATTTAACATAGAAGTCCAGCTGGGGCCCCAATACAGGAGAAAGAATAGAAGCCACTGCCTATTGCAGGGGATGGTGGGATCCTAGCATGCATCTCAGTCTGTCTCTGGATGTTCTCTAGACCACCGGGCCACAGACCAGTACTGGTGAGTGGCCTGTTAGGAACCAGGCCACACAGCAGGAGGTGAGTGGCGGGCAAGTGAAGCTTCATCTGTATTTGCAGCCGTTCTCCAGGACACAGCAGGAGGTGAGTGGCGGGCAAGTGAAGCTTCGTCTGTATGTGCAGCCGTTCTCCAGGACCAGCATCACCGCCTCAGCTCCACCTCAGCTCATCAGGCATTAGATTCTCATAGGAGCACTGGCCCCTGGTGCCAAAAAGGTTGGGGACCGCTGTTCTAGACCACAGTTATGCTGTCAGAGTAGTCGCTGGTCAGCTGTCCCTTCAGAGTTTCTTTTATTATGTCCTTTCAAGTTTATCAACACAAATTTTTGTTTGTGTTGATTTTGTTAATTTTTTTCATGGTGATTTGGCTCTGCTAGGTGTAGGATAGCTACCCAACATAGCAGCACAGAAACCCACAGATACCCCTTTATAAAGCTATGGCTTTCACTCACATGGAGCAGTGATTATTATATGGCGATCTGGCACTAGATTAACTCAGGAATGTCAACCTTAGCTGTGAATAGTGCCCACTTGGAGTGCTGTCTATGGTAGTTGAAAGATGAAGTATAGATTCTCACTGAAGACATAAGACCCAGATGGAATGAGAGCACATAACTAGTATTGAATTATTTAGTGTAGATGGTCATTGTTTCAGAGATTAAGAGTGAGAGCTCAGGACCTGAAGTATGCCTGAAGGCCTCTTCTCCCAGATCCGCTTGCCTAATCCTCACTTCCTTCCAGCCTTTGCTCAGATCTCACCTTCTCAATGAAGCTGTGTTGGATACCATAGCCATCTCCTCCCCCAGCACTCCAGATCCCACATTCCCTTCTCTACTCTTCATCTATAGCACTTACCACCTTCCAACACGACAGCATCATTTACTTAATTATTATGTTGATTGTTTACAGTTTGTTTACTCTACCAGACTGTAAGTTCCAAAAGGGTGGGGATATTTGTTTTGTCCACTGATAAATGCCTAGAACAGTTCTTGGTGCATAGTAAGTACTTTATTATTTGTTGAGTTACCTGAATGACTGGTTCAGTGAAGTGGGTTAAAATCAAAACAAGCAAAAGAAAAGCCTGAGGCTCATAAGGGTGATATTAACCTACATCAATCACCTTCCTCACAAAGGCAGGGCTTTCTCAGATCCAACTGTCCTCTGGAGGGCTGCTTTTGGTAGTCAAGATTATCCCTGGACCCCATGACCCAGGGGTAGCCAAGAGTCACCTTGATACTGTCTGTAACAGCCTTGGCTACTGATCCCTAGTCATAGTTTTCAGTATGGGACCAACATGAGCAGTAAGAATACCAATGCTCTGTGCAGTTGGCAGCCTGGGCATATTCATGGAAAAAAGGGTAAATATTCCATGTTAGGAAGTGAGATGTGTTTCGGTCATATTGGACTGACATTCCCTGTGATCAAGAGCCTCTCATTTTGTTTTGAATTTGTTAGCTATTGATGGATTTGTAGTTGGAAAATAAATACAGATCAGAGCTCAGACAATAACAAAATGATCTATTCCCCCTCGCCTTTTTAATATATATACGTATGGCTCTTACCTGACCTCCTTTCCCTTTTCAGGGTGAAAAGGCTGATAGCTTTTACATTATAGAGTCTGGCGAAGTGAGCATCTTAATTAGAAGCAAGGTGAGTTTTGTGTGATAGTGCAAATCATGCCAGGGACAATCCGATGCCAGGTGTATGCACGGAAAGTAATTGTTTGCTTTAAATCATGTAAAAGTGTTTAGTGTACCAAAACCGTCACTGTTAGGTGAGGTATGTAACTGGCAAAGACCCTTGTCTAAGCCCATCCATTGATAGGAATTTAGTATATTTCTTCTTTTTCCTATTGCCTTTGCCTCTGTTATGTAATTAATATGAGAATTTTGGCTTACAGATTGATGAAAAGGTAAACACCCTAATAGAAAATGGAGGGAATTATATAATTAAAAAATACATGTAGGTGTTGAAAAAGAAAATAGCTTCCTTTTTAGAGCATTGGGAGGGAAGTCTCTAGGACAGTTATTATGGCCATTTGATGGATAGGGAGACCTAGAAACTGATGACCTATAGGTGATGGGAGGAGTTATTCTTACCATAAATCTATCATCACCAGATTTCCGTTTCAATTTTTTTGAAGAATATAGAATTTATTAAAATAGTGAGTTATGTTTAATATTAAATCAACCTAGTATGAAACCTTTTACAGAATATTTTAAATAAAAGTATGAAGAAAGAAAAATATGATGATTACTTTTTATAAGATGGTTTGATTCCTAACTAAAAATAGATCTGTTGTTTCACATGAAACAATGGTTTGAAACATCTATGTTCTTTTACTTACAGTTTTTGGACTACTGATATATGTTTGTACATTTGTCAAATATTCATTGACACAACATAATATTGGGTATGTAGGACCAGCAGCACTGTGGCACTGGGGGCTTGGGGGAGCTTGTCAGAAATGCAGTCTTGGGCTCTGCCCCAGACTTACTGAATCAGAATCTACATTGTAACAAAATCCCCAAGGGGCTGCTATTGATATGACAGTGTGATAAGTGCTACTTTAGAGAAGGGACTAGGTGGGCATAAACATGTCTGTAGTCCCAGAAAATGCTGCAGAAATAGGAAAGAGGGCATTGGCTCGAATAGGGCAGAATGACTTAAGAGCCAAGAGTTCAGGGCAGAATTGTGGAAGAAGAAAAGGTCAAACCATGTAAGCAAGTGTAGGACTTTTGTTCATTTTCTAATTACATTAAAAAAATTATCTACCTACCTATAACATAAAGTGGCTCTTAGAAATTGAGACTAATTCTTATTAATAAATTCTAATAAATTTTTACTTAAAGTCCAGGAAACTCCAGATATTAAATATAATATAGTACATTATTTTCAGTAATTTGATAAGCACAAATTACAACTTGTTTGATATCTTAATAGAGAGTTAAACCATCAGATTTCAAGGTTGAACATTATTTTTAAAAATATTTAGTTACTTAACTCTTTTTTTAAAATGTGGGAGGGGACCACTAACTTAAGATGTAGACAGTACCTAAAAAGAAAATTTGTCACTGTTGTAAAGTATTATCTGAGAAAGATATGGTCTCACATCAAACGTAGTAGCCCAGAATTGTGATTCTACCCAAGAAAAGCATTAACATTATTTAGAAAGAATTAGCAAAATACCTTGTCTTTTCCCCTGTGCCTCAGAAGTCAGCATCTACCAGAGAGTATGTATAATATATATGATTATATGTTCATACATAATATATCAATATTATATATTATTAATTATATA